CGTGTCAAGGATGTGATCGCATGTACAGCTCAAACAAAGAACCCTTGAGCTGCACTACTGGCGCATACACTGTTAGAAAAATTACCGTTAACGGTATTACCGGCGTTTCAGTGGCCGGTCGGCACGTGAAAAGAAACACAGTGTCACCGCTTTTATGCTAATTTAAAACTAGGAATCCGTAAAACATCTGATAAAAACGGCGAAACAGTTTATTTTCACGGGGCAACCGGCCTCTAGAACGCCAGTGGGACCGTTTTTTCACCGTTTTTTCTAACAATGTAATTGAAGTTACACTAGCATAGGTATGTATATACCGTCAGCCGCTTCATCACCGAAAACTGAACATTTTAATATTTCAGAAGTTCTTAGTCTAGCACACAAACTATTTCGTTAAAACGCTTTTAAGAAATATATATTAAATTTATTACTATCTGCCTCCAATTCAGAGTTCAAAACGTTTAAACTTATACATACATATAAAAAGTAGGTAGCAAATATGGAATAAACGTAAAGAAATTCTAGAACGGCACTAATTTTACTCAATCTACCATTTTAGCATCAATTGATTTGAAATTAAAAATGCCCCAATTTATATTGAGGATATAAAAGAGATAAAATTATCGTAAATATATGAGCGTTTTTTTTAATTAGGGCAGAAGCACTCGACAGTTCCGCGCCTAGTGATAAAAAGAACTAAGAATAAAACTCAGATTGAAAACTAAGGTGAAAATAATGTATTTAAATAAAAAAATTAAAAATACACATGAAAAATTAGCTGATGAAATGAAATGAATATAAATGTTTCGGGTAATCATTCCCGAGCAAAGCCGGGTTAGCCGGCAGGGTATTTTATACATAGAACTTCGTAAACTCATTTAATTGAAATCACAGGGCAAATTCAGACAAATTCATTCTCCAACAAATCCATGCATTCTCAACACAAACGAACAGAGCAAAAGACTGAAGAACAAAGAAGTGAATAATTGAGTAATACGATAGAACGACAACTCGTCGCTTCACTTCCCAAGGCAAGGCGAGCACCACGTGGAAAAGTTGTTTTTATCTCGGCGCATGGAAAAGTAGGTCGCTATCAAAGAGGTAAAAAACGTATAAAAATAGAAACTAGGAATAACAAAGTTATTTTATGAAAACTTGTATCAACAAAATCTAAAATTCGTCAAACTTTCATTGGTATAGAAAGTTGAATTATTTCTTGAACTGCTAGGTAATGTCAAAGCAAATGAGCAGTCATGAGTCATGACGGACAGAATGAATTAATAAACCAACGTCTGCTTTCAGTCAAGGAAAAATATAAAAAAATAGGTTTAAACGCTCTCTCTTCATTAAACTCAATTCCAGAACAAAGTTTGCGCCAAGTTAGGGAGAATGCTGTTTATCTAAGCTACGACAAACTTAGGCTTCCTCTTTTCCGGTTCTAGCACGGCAAGTGTAAGAAAATTCACTTCAAAATAACAACGCGACCCCCATCGTCACTCCAGCAGACATCGTCACTCACTCACATGACCTACCGACATAACTATAAATGAAATGCGGTTTCGACGTACAAGCATTTCTTTTTTCCACACTACAGCCTGGCTAAGAAAGACGACAGTTCAATTAAAATTAATAGTAGTATAAATTCCAGACAATTCTAGCATTTGATTTCAATCATTTCGGTATTGAATATGAACATAATTCATCAATTAATAGCTGGGCTGACGCCACCACTACCACATGCAACTAGAGGGCGGCCAAAACCTGTTACGCGACCGTCTCAATGACGCGACCAATGACGTTTGTAAACTATGACGTCATTGTAACCCAACAATCAAGCAAAGTGAGATAACACGTAATTTATACCGAGACATGACATTAAAATTATTCAGAAAAAAATTATATAATTATATCATTAGTTTCAAATATGAGTTGGTCCAAAGGGGTTTCAATAGCGCAATTACCTGATATAAAAACAAAGAAGAGCAGCAACAAACGTTCTTCACGTTACTCCCAGTCCCAAAGAAAGTAGTACGCACTATTTTTGTCCACAAAATATTGTATTCACTTTGGTTTGCAACGATCAATTTTGAACAAAAATTTTTCATTTGAGTGCATCAGTAAGTTTTCAGATGCATCAAACAGTTTTGATTAGAGAGACAGTTGCAATAGAACAGATTTAGAGGCTGAACAGGACTGGCGCACACCCACCACTCACGGCTGCGTTTGAGTTACTGAGCGTACTAGATCGCCATCGCATCGTCGCGAGCTAGCAGCCCTAGACTACGCCGAGCAGCTTGATTCGGTCACGTTCATTCCTCGTACGAACAGGTTTCTTTGGAACTTGACAAATTTTATGTCGTTTATCCGTAAATATACCATTTTAATTTATGCACGAACATGTTGGGAACGATTCGTGATTCATAAGCATAAAAATTTATATAACACCTACCACCACATGTATCCAAAGGCTAATCCAATCGGCAAAACGAGTTGAACAAATGCTAAAATCAGCGTTCATGAATGTAAAAATAAAAAATAAATAAAATGTGATAAATTAAAAAATTACCATAGATATTTAGTAGGAAATTGAACTGACATGTTGTCGTTAACAAATATATTCAGGAAAGATGCATGGGACAACAGATTCGACACGCCACTACGATTATTCCACGGTCATTTCGGTTGTAAATTCTTTTGTCCACTTGAAACTTAAAAAAAAAACAGTAACCTGGAGATAACATTCCACTCTGTCTGAGTGGAGTCTAGGAGTCGGGCTAATTTTTTCCTCAATCGTAGCTATTCGTGGGGAATAACTCTGTAAGTAACCACGATAGCAGTATTGTTCAACATCACCTCGATGGATGCTTTTTTTAACGTAAATGTGATGAAAACTTCACTTGAGCACAGTAGTGGGAAGTTAGCAAATGAATACTAATTACTTAAGCGTCTTGAATCTCGAGCATGGCGTTATAACTTCAAGTATAGCAAAAACAAAAAATTCGGGTCACTATATCAGAATTTGCTAAAAAAAACACGGAAATAAATCAATCAAACGAGTTCTGAAAAATAGGTATACGATGGGTCATGTAAACGAAACTTGCCTATACTCGAATCTGAATGGCATATTTATGGGTAAATTGAAAGGGTATAATCGTGTAGAAATATATTAATCGTTTCCGTTTTATTATACATCACTGAAATGTTATTAACGCCTCAGAGTGCTGATAAAATTGGCGAATCGAGTGAAGTTCCTTTATGTGAACGCGCATCTTAAAAAACAGGCAGAGGAGACCGAAACCGGAAAGTATCCGAGGCGTCAAAAATTAAGTCTAATTCCATCCTAGTGCGAGATTACTTCAGTAAATTCATGCCGCTTCACCGTTGTTTTTGGTTTCGCAACGAACGCTTCCGTCCTAACGTGGAAGCAGCGCCGTTATGAGCACCATTACAAGTCTCAAGGCTACGCGACTGCGGACACGGCCACGAATTCCAGAGCTCGTTAATTCTATATCTGAGCGTAGCAAGTGAAAACTTTTTCCGTTATATATGCTATACTCGCCCGTGGAAACAAGCAACGTTCCAGTTTTTAAGAATCAAAATTATTCGATAGCTTGGGAAGAGATATTGTCACCGGCAATACATGGTAATTTTAACATATTATGATGTCTGCAAATTCTCAGTTGATAACAAAGCTTATTGAGGAACTGTTTAGAAAATTGGAGTGATATAGGTTCGCGATGTTAAGAATCGAAATTTCACAAAAATAATCCTAATAACCATATAAAAATCGTTGGATTAGTGGGACAGGTAGGTTAAATGATTAAAAAAAACAATGCGTAGAGTACGAGCCTGGAGGCGAAAAGATTTTTGCTCGAACTATACAACCCAAGACGTAGATTGAGCACCCTGAGCAAAAGAACTTTAAAAGTTATAGAAGAAAATTTGAAAGTTAAAAGTAAAAGAACTTAGAAAGTTAAAGAAGTAAATTAACGAAACTAAGCCGAACTCTCCGAATGGGCCTGTTGAGGAACAAGCGTAGGCAGTGCCCACAGGTGAGATATTTATCAAGAACCCAAATTTGAAATTTTCAAGCCCAAAGTCTTACCACACAACTACGAAATCAAACTGAAAGGAAGAAGCTCAAGGCGGCTACGGAAACAAAGCAACGCGAAACGGACGGGGGAGCATTCCACAGAATGAAATAACAAAAATGAGAAATTCTTAGTGGAACAGCAGCTGTCACCGCACATTCTCGTTGTGCCGCATATATATGACCTAGCCTCAGTAGCATTAGCGACCATATGCACCAGGGATCTACAGATTAATTGATGTGAGTAGTATACTTGAAACCACAAGCATGTATTCAACCATCACATCAAACTCACGAGAAAACTAACAATTATATTACTAAAGCTCTCGTAACTCTTATAAATGACGTTCGAAGATCTTGTTTTTTTTACCGTCACATCTAAGTCACGAGAGAACGAATATATATTACCAAAGCTCTCTTAACTATTAAAAATGACGTATGACGATCATGTTCTTTTTACCGTCACATCTAACTCACGAGAGAACGAACATCAATATATTACCAAAGTTGCCGTAAGTCTTAAAAATTACGTGCGAAGTCGTGTTCTTTTTACCGTCACATCTTACTCACGAGAGAATTAACAATTATATCACTAAAGCTCTCGTAACTCTTAAAAATGACGTGCGAAGATTATGTTCTTTATACCAACACATTTAACTCGCGAGAAAACTAACAATTATATTACTAAAGCTCTCGTAACTCGTAAAAATGACTTGTGAAGATCATGTTCTTTTAACCGTCACATCTTACTCGCGAGAGAATTAACAATTATATCACTAAAGCTCTCGTAACTCGTAAAAATGACTTGTGAAGATCAGTTTTTTTTTACCGTCACATATAACTCAGGAAGAAACGAACAATTACATCATCAAAGCTCCCGTAACTCCTAAACAAGACTTGTGGAGGTGCTCACCGCTGTGGATCTGCCTCAAGACTGTCGTCAAACTCGCGCAGTTCATCGAGCACGGTGAGAGCGAACATGTTGTCCCGCACGTCCAGGTAGCGCCCGTCGACTAGCACTGCACACATCGCGACACGCGCTTCAGAGTCTTCTCACTATGGCACGGTTAATTGGCCGCGTCAAAATAACATTACGCTTTAATAATTTGATGATTTAACAAAGCCTTAATTAACGTGAGGGTCGATGTATCTGGCCTTGAATATATAACATCATGTAATCAGAACACATTAATAAACGTGGGAGTACTAAGGACCATGCCATGTAATGTCAAAATAACACGGTAAGGTTTTTCTATCACAAATAAATTTTCTGATAAAAAATAAATAATTTAATAGTACTGTGTTAGAATATGAAGAAACTAAGCTTTTGATGTCACTTGTTTGCTAAAATCGCAAGTTAACTAAATATTTAAAAGCAAATAATAGTCCACAAAAATTCGTATCTTAGTAGAAAACGTTTCGGAGTCCAGCTCAATCGTCAGTTAGTAGAATCTAGAATTCATATAGCAAGTCACAAAGTAATACAATTGAAAGCACAGAACGAAAATAAAAACCTAAATTTACAAATAATAGAGCACAAAAAGAATATCTATTCACAATTTCAAGGAGATAGGAGCTGCTGAATTCTAGATTCTACGAACTGACGATGGAGCTGGACTCCGAAACGTTTTCTACTAAGATACGAATTTTTATGGACTATTCTTAGCTTTTAAATTTTTAACTAAGCTTTTGTAACACGTTTTCACCCAGCACACTAATAAATGCGAGTTTATAACAACGTTCATGTTACCCGACATCGATTAAAGATGACGGGACTGTTCCTGATAGTGCGACAAAAATAATGCAACAGCTAACGATTGCATTAGAAGAGTAATAGATGCCAGTCTAGTAATTATTCTTCATGTTAGTGAGCTGCATTTGGCTCCGTTGTCATTATAATAAAAGTGTGTCACAAACGCATCGATCGTTCATTAAATGACCTTTGATAAAATTAATTGTGTTGCAAGCAAACCTTATAACAACTAAGCGAATCACCCATGACTTGAAACAACTGTGCAATTCTTCACTAATAAGCCCGATTGCTAAGGGAGCCGGGAGGACGCCGGAATACACCTCCAAGTGTGAGCAGCGGCATATAAATATTTATTTATATTGATAAATATTAATATGTAAGTATTATATTTATAACACGCGACCATGGACCAAAGTTCAGGAACAAGAATATTCCGCGACCAGGAAGTTCGGCTAAAGAAATATCAGGTCTAACAGCGCATCGAAAGGCACTGCCATGGCAAGATAAAAAATTCTCGTTGATAAAGTCACAGAGGCTAGCAAAGAAAATTAACTTCAGGAGCAATTCTAAAGTCTTAGCACAAACTTGTATTTTCATTATTGATCTTAGCTGCCTCATGAAGCTATTTTAAAATGTGCTTGCTTTCACAGAGTACAAACAATCATTGAGAATACATCCAAAAAATTTCTCTCGGCAAGATACTGAATCATTCGATCTGTTTCGCTGAATTATTTATTGGTATATTGCTTCATTTCAATGCTTTATAGTGGACATCGATAGAAGATACAATGACGATAAAAATGATGAAGGCAAGAGGACAATTACCACGAGCAATAGTTCCAAACAAGCAACGGGCATTCGTTTACAATGAGTAATTACTTGATAAAAATGATAACAAAATGATGCCAAGAACATCACCGGAAATGCCAGCTGCTCCACACCCCCTGCGGCAGGAAAATTGCAGAAAAAATAATGCTCCGTCATAAGATTGTATTTAGACTTGAGTGAGTCCTACAAATGTATTCTAATAAACAGTAATAATCAAGATGGTAATGATATGCATAGAAAAAATATGGTAATAATATGCATATAAAAAATGACGAATAAGACTGCGCTGATGCTGTTGTCAGCTTAACACTCTTGGATGTCAGGACTACAAGAATAGTAAGATCGATGAAAAGCGAAGTCATGCCAAGTAAAAATGCAGAAACAACAGCGCCAGTATTACACAAATAACTAAACCTAAGTCTAGACAGTAAAATTGAATTCTCGATGACCAATCGTGCGGAGGAAAAAATGTAAGCACTGCTTATGCATGCAATGAAACGTTGTCATGATGACATAGATGACGCACATCGTACGTTTTACAGACAATGACAAAACAATGACAAATTTTCTCCATATTTTCTTCACTTTATAATGAAGTTCAAGTTAATATATTCGCTCTTGATCAGTCGCTAAAATAACCGACCTTGAAGCGGTAATCAATACACTTAGCATGCGGGAGACGTGAGAATTAAACGCGACCAAAGCAACCACTAATTTGATCTATAAACTCTAATACAGAATTTTGGCACAAACTGTTCGTTCTCCCGATATGCAAGACAAGAGTTAGCGATATGCGGATGGCGAAGAAAAGCGGGTTGATTTTACTAAGATTGAGATTGTGCTGATGGCGATCAAGCTGGATTAACCGAAATTCTACATCTAACGCTGAACTTCACATCACGAAACAAGACTGAGAAGGAAGACAGTCGCACAAAAGCAGGTGTCATGGTTTATCAAAGAAGAATAAATTGCTCTGATCCTGTGAAATAATGTAGCTGATAGTGTTTTTTAGGTAGGCTTAGCAGACTCATTCAGTTAAGACAGACTATGGTTGAATTCAATGTAGTGACATATATTCGTGAACCAAGATTAATTTTAGCCATAGTCTCACTAAATTTGGGCACTGAGATCAGTAAGTGGTGGTCAATACCTAATGCAGCTTAGTGCAAGCGAAGCTCTACGTCTACACGGGTTATATTAGGATTATGTACAGAGTTGTAACAATAATAATGGAATGTTGAGATCTGAACTACAAAAAAGATTAATAATATTAAGATGAGGCAAATTATAAACAATAATGCGTAATGCAGTTTAAAATTTGTGATAAAACATTGAGGTTCATTCACGATGAAACATCTCGAAGCAATCACAGATCTCAGTTATACCAAGAAATTTTAGGGATAACTCCAGATGCCAGGATTTTTAGACCTGTTTCGAATTCGTAAAAAGATGTCTCAACCGAAAATGAAAGGATGATCTTAACCATCACAATGCTCGATCAAGCTTAGTGTAAACCCAAATTGCGAGATGCTCAGGCCCAGTTTTTCTCTCTAATATTTTTTTCCCAAAAAGCTCCATTGATCTAAAAATGGCATTAATTTCTTCAGGGTCATTCTCGCGTTCAATCAAAAGATAGAAACGTCCTTGAGGCGTTAGCAGGCGAGGAACCTCAGGCATGAGTCGGTCTAGCACCTGACGTCCTTTGCGACCTCCTGCCCAGGTGTGCTGCAGGTCTCCAGCAGCAACCTCTTCTGGAGGAGTCACCACATATGGCGGGTTGAATATCAGCACATCAACTTTCCCATCAAGTTGGCGACCACAGCCGGACAAGAGGTCTGAACAAAACGTTTCTACGCTGCAAGCGTTCTTCTGTGCCGTGGCAACCGTGGCCATACACGCCTTCATGTTCACATCTGCAGCAATATATGAGCAAGCGGGCCCAAGGGCTGTTGCAAGGCCTGTGATCAGAACCCCAGAACCCGGTCCTACCTCCACGCACAAGGAAGGCTTCATAGCCATTATCAAAGGGAGCTCATTTTCTAATGCATCTAGCATCAAGAAGCTATCCTCAGCCGGCTCGTAAATACTCTCGTAATCTTGTGCTGTCAAATGACTAATGTCTGGTGTCGCAATCTTTGACATCGCCACGACGTTCTATATTACAAATTCTGTAAAGGAGTCGTAGTATTAATTGCAACTCCTCCAACAAAACTCTGATTTTACACCTAAATTTGGCTCAAAATCAACTTAGAATGAAGGACTTTACCCATCAAAATAATTTAGACTCACAAAATTTCGTATCTGCAATCAAGATGAAATCAAATAATAATAAAAAGTACGAGAGAGATCAAATTCAGGTCCAAATATCACATATTAGTGTATGCCTGAAGTTTGCACCAAAATTGGATGCAATTAATTTAATATTGAAGTCAGAGATGCGCATATATATATAAAAATATTGAAGAAGTTTAGATAATTTGAATGACAACCTTTACTGAGAGAATTCTAGATCACATCATAAATAGTATTGATTTTATCAGAGCATCAAAATGAGAATTCAAACAAACTTATCTGAATGATCAATCACAACTTAAATAAAATATGTAGAAATTCAAAACATTTTTAATAAACAGTCTTCAGATATTTTATGAATAAACTCTAAGAACATATTACTATTTATTCATTAAATTATTTTCGTTTTAAATGCTTACAAACACTGCCACAACTTGCAAACAATAGCACATAGATACAAAGTGACTAGGATTTGTTCAAGTCAATAACAGAAGTAATGGCTTCGTGAGCTGCCAGAGTGATCATGGTGGTGTGTGAAGATCAAGTCAGTGCAGAATTTCTTGCATCAGCTGATGCCAGGAAGGAATTAGAAGGACTTGACACAGTTGGGTCTAGGAGAGCTCTACGCCGACTTGTCTCCTTGGTGACTTGAACATGAAGTTTATTTAGACGTTCCTGAAAAATTCATTACTGATTATAAAAAAATTTATTTTTTGCCTCAGGCATAATGCAAGTTATAGAATTAGCAACCTCAAAGAAGTATAAATATATTACCTAGTACCTACTTTTCTTAGGGAGACAATGCCACTGATCTAACCATTACCAACAACATGTATACCTATATTAGATCTTGTAACAATGAAAGATAACAAGCAGGTTTCAATTATAGAACAATTACGTACCACATGTACCATCATAATTCATTGAAGAACATCAAGATGTAACATATACCTACCATCACTAAGTAGCTACATGCAATTCAAAACATCATCCAACAGTTGGGTAATCAAAATCTTTTTCATGTCAGTTAAAGATAAATTATTCTAGGTACATTACAAAAGTATGATTTCATAAGGTTTAAACTGAAATAATTCCTTACTTGGGTTGTTTGTAAGATATTGTTGACAACAACAACTCTTCTCTTGGCATTCTGTAGCTTCTTTATGTATAGATCAAGCTGAAGCGGACACTGCGTTTGATGCTGCACTGCAGTCAGCTGCTGCTGTAGTCCCTCCAACTGCAGCTGTAAATCACTTTGACTTGTTCTGAAATCCATACTTTGATTAGTACGGTATCATTATCAAACACTTCTTCCATGTTAAAGCTCATTATCCTTGGAACACCAAAAGTTTTATTACAGAATAAATTAGCAACAGACAATGTAGTAGTATGGATCATCTTGACTAATTTAATAGCTACATATAGCAAAAATCTACGAAAATGAAGACATTGATACAAAATTTCTAAACTATGACAGCTGCAACCATAAACATACACAAACCTGGTTTGACGAACCCGATCATCAAGCTGATCAAGACAGGGCTTCAACATACCCATGATCCCATCAACCAAAACATCTCTTGTAGGAGGAACTAAGTCATCAGTTTGCTCACCAATTGATGTAGCAGTGCTCTCACTTTGTGCCATTAGATTTTCCAAGACACAACAAGATCAGGAACACGTTAAATTCTTTTGAACTGATATTAATTCTCTCAAGCAATAAGACTGCTGTAACAGGAAAGTAGAGTTAGGATCAGAAACCATTACATGTATCAAATAAAATTTACACTTGTATTGGGTTACTTGATAGACAGCAGGAATTACAAATTATACTTTGGGTTAAATTAAGAAGAGTAGCCAAAGGAATATACCACATGACCTTATGACCTTATGATGAGTACGGGACTTCCAAATCCCCGGTCACGCAGATGCGCTGGCGGCCTTTGTCATCCTCCATCTCCGAGTCTTTGCTAGGCAGATCACCCTGTCCTTGGGTCCCGGATGTAAAGTTGGACGTGTTCTGTATATTTGCCCTCCTTTGGGCCAGCTGGTGCAAGATTCAGTTGCTTGTCACTTGTTGGGGGTAGTTTCCCATTACTGGACAATCCAGGATCTTTCTCAACCAATTGTCTCTTGAATGTTGCAAGGGTGAACTCCCCTCCTTCCAGCGCTTTTGGCAGGACATTAAAGAGCCTCGGTCCTACAATGAACAGCAATCCCTCACCACGAGTCTGTACTCTGGCCGCTGTTCAGTTATTAAATGGGGGAACCTTGCACGGTCTACCCCTCCTATCGTTGTAACGTGTCACTGTTTTGGAGGTCTCACTCTCAATGTTGGGAGCCAGTCCAGTGATCATCTTCCAAGTGTACAGTATGATATACCTTTCTTTTCTCCTCTCCAGTGAGTACAGTCCCAGGTGTTTCTGCCTTTCCCAGTAGTTCAGGTTCAGCTCCCTCATGCCTCTGATCCTGTGCATGAAGGTCCGCTGCACTGCCTCTAATTTCCGCACCGCACCTGCCTTGAATGGCAACCAAAGTTGGCAGCAATACTCAAGACAAGGGCTCTGAAGAGTGTAATCATTGGTGCTGCTTCTCTCGTTCGAAATATCTGCCATATCCACTCCATCCATTGCTGGCTGTGCAAGACTATTTCCTTGATATGGGCATCAAACGTGGCATCAGTACTCATCAACACTCCGAGATCTCGAACTAGTTGCTTCTCAATTTCTGTGCCATCTGATGCCAAGTAGCAATGCAGCATCCCGATCTCTGTGCAGACTCTGTATCTCATTACTTCGAACTTGGTGCTGTTGAACTGCATATTGTTCACTAGGCCCAATCATATATTGACAATAGGTCATCCTGTAACCTCTCGCAGTCTAGTTGATCTGTGATCTTCATCAGCACTCTTGTATCGTCCACAAATGACGATGTAGATGCGTGGGTGAGTTCCAAAGTCAATATCAGCAATGTGGACAAGGAAAAGGATCGGTCCAAGCACTGAGCCCTGCGGTACTCTGCTTTTCACCTTCGCTTCTCTGGATTTTGAGTTACCAATTGCGACAGCTTGTACCCTATCTGTAAGGAAGTTGTGGATCCACCTCAACAGGCTTTCTCCTGCCCCCAACAGCCTCAGCTTTCTAAAGAGCACCCCATGGTCAACTTTGTCAAAAGCTTTAGCAAAGTCTAGGTATACCACGTCCACACCAGCTCCCTCCTCCAGCTAGGCCACAAGACGGTGATGGTGCTGCAATAACTGTGACAAACAGGAACTTTTACGCCAGAAACCATGTTGTCCATTATTATACAAGGCAGCCTCTTCCATATACCAGACAAGCCTCCTGACCACTACCTACTCTTACCAGGGAAGAACCCCTCAATGTTAGCCAGCAAAATTACAGACCCATCCCTTATTGGTGCGCTTACCTGCATCTCTACCACTCTGCCAGGCGCCCCTGGCCCAACAGCTCCTGCATCTGGAGTTGAATTATTTCCAGCTGCTGCCTCATTTCTAAAAAAACACCATAGGTAAACTCTGACCAATAACAGTTCTTTGAGAGGAAGTATTGCAGGTAGCTGACAAATATTGTGAGTCAAGGTTGCTGACAAATATTGTGAGTCAAGGTAGCTCACAAATATACCAGTCAAGATCAAGTGTACTGCCCAATAAGCCATAGAAGTTCGACGATACACTCAATCTGTCTGTCTGGAACAATTGCTATGGAGAGTGAACACAACTCTTTGCACATGGGACTGAAGCCTACAACACACACAGCAGCTAGTAGTAGTCAAGCCTGAGACTGTCCTCTTACTCCTTAGATACCAATGATGTAACCCATTGTGGGTTTGGGTTTAGTTTGGGGCCATTCTGATGGAGGGTGTTAAAATCAAGGATGACAAACAGGGTGAGAATGCATAACTTGCAAGTAAGTATCTCTTAAGTCTTCAAGTTCTCCATTCACACGCACTTCTAATGAACTACTGCAAAATTTTTATCATCAGTAAAAGACCGCTCAAGCCTATAAATCTGACAAATTAGATACCGTAAAATGGAGTAACCTTGACCACTTTTTTTTCAAAATGATGCCATTCTTTTACCGTAAAATGGGGTAACTTAGACCACTTTTTTTCTTATAAATGATGCCATTTTCTTACTAGCTAAATTAAACTTGAATTTAAACATGCAAAATACAGGTCTATACTCTAGCTTCACTTACCATAAATTGCTGGCTCCTGCCTCTCATAGTCTTTATGTAATTTCAAAAAAAGTGATGGTTAGTTTTGATGTAATTTAAAAAAAAGTGATGGTCTTTGTTACCCCAGCTCTTGGGGTTTCTTTGACCGGGTGGTAAAATCAATTTTATTTTTTAGTAAAATAACTCCAAATAACTCCAGGTTGTGGTGCATTGTAGTAGAACTCTTCTAGTTACATATACAAAAGACAGACTTTAGGAAAGTGTCATAGTTTGCAAATGGGGGGCGCCGCCCCCAAATGGGCAAAATGTGATCACCTAATGGCAGCCATGACGGGGTAACATAGACCGGTTTGGAAATTAAGTTAAAATTACCATATATAGGACTCTGTAGAGTCTGAAACATGAAGAAAAAAAACATTAATAGGTATATCAAACATAAAATATGTTATATAGGTAGCTATGGTAATTTTAACTCAATTTCCAAGCCGGTCAATGTTACCCCGTCATGGCTGCCATTAGGTGGTCAAAGTTACCCCATTGGGGGGCAGCACCCCCCATTTGAAAACTATAACACTTTTCTAAAATTTGTCTTTTGCATACACGGTATGTAACTAGAAGGGTTCTACTACAATGCATCAAAACCTGGAGTTATTTTACCAAAAAATAAAAAAATTGGAGGGGGTACTCCAACAGGCTTAAAATAATAGCTCTTTTTTGTGGGTCATTTTTAATTTTTTAACCTATTAGATATGCAAACTTTTTAAATCTTTCTATTGTGTTACGTAGCCTCAGTATTAGGCCTTTGATGGCCATTGACAAAATTTTTCTAAGTCAAATCGTTTTTGAGTTTTGGGGGTTTTTGTTAAAAAAACGAAAAGTGGTCAAAGTTACCCAGCCGGTCAAAGTAACCCCATTTTACGGTAATTGTTTTGTTTCTAGTTTTAAATTCACATATTTTAAGATTGAAATTAAATATTTAAATTAGAATACTTGTATTAGGGTGGAAAATATTTCTAATTGCCTAAAAGGTCAATACAATCTCAACCTCTCAATATATAGGGTGGAGCAGAACTGGTTGAGCAGTTTTGAGGTAAAATAAAAGAGTAATGTAGGGACATAAAGAAGAATGTTTATTTTCCTAGAGGTTAGCATAACATACCATTTAGAATACTTATGTTTTGAAAACAATATCTGGAAGATGGGGGCCGTTAGCTGCAATACACTGTTGGAGTCGTTCTCAGAGGAGGGAGTAACCATGGCAGTGAATTCCAAATGCCATGCTTCAATGTTGCAAAATTTCTTGCAGCCCAGGATGGAAAACATTGTTGAAAATGAAGCATTGAGAGACGTGTGGTTCCAGCAGGATGGGGCTACAGCTCACACAGCCCGAATGTCACTCAATGTTTTGAAAAGCATGTTCCCAGACTCTGAGGGGTGATTTACAGTGGCTAGCGGGGTCAACCCTACCACAGCTAAAGGAACATATTATTGCAGCAGAGGTTATGGCCATACCTCACCATATGTGTGAACATGCTGTAGGAAACTTCCGAGAACAACTCCAACAGTGTGATGCAGCTAACAAACCCCATCTTCCTGATATTGTTTTCAAAACATAAGTATTTTGAATGGTATGTTATGCTAATCATGAGGAATATAAACTTTCTTCTTTATGTATCTCCATTACTCTTTTATTTTGCCTCAAAACTGTTCAATCAGTTCTGTCCCACCCTGTATAAGCTAGCTAACACATTTAAATTGTATATTGTAATCAATATATAACAAATGGTCAAATAGTTAGACTACTTATAGCCTTATAAGAATTTGCTAAGCTGCTAGCTATGTACAATGTATTGCACTCTTGACACCTCTGTACCAAAAACATTCCATTTATTGGAACCTAATACACACTAAAGGCAACCAGTTACATACCAATTTGTCATTCATAGTACATTTATACTAAACCATGAATAACAATACCTCAATATAAATTAAAGACTGCCACTCAATATTTTTAAATATATGAAAAAATCAAAAAAATCAAAATAATAAAAAAAATCATGATTTAAAAAAAAAAATCAAGTGATTTAATCACATGATTTAATCATTTTGATTTAATCATTGCCAACCCTGATGGTAATTTCAACTTAATTTCCAAACCGGTCAATGTTACCCCATCATGGCTGCCATTAGATGGTTACATTTCTCCCCTTTGGGGGCGGCGCCCCCCATTTGCAAACTATGACACTTTCCTAAAATTTGTCTCTTGCATATGTAACTAGAAAAGTTCTACTACAATGCACCACCACCTGGAGTTATTTTACCAAAAAATAAAATTTATTTTGCCACCCGGTCAAAGAAACCCTAAGAGCTGGGGTAACAAAGACCATCACTTTTTTTCAAGTTACATCAAAACTATGAGAGGCAGGAGCCAGCAATTTATGGTGAGTGAAGTTAGAGTATAGACCTGTATTTTGCATGTTTCAATTCAAGTTTAACTTATCTAGTAAAAAAATGGCATCATTTTGAAAAGAAAAAGTGGTCAAAGTTACCCCCATTTTACCCGTAAAATGGGGTTACTTTGACCGGTGGGATAACTTTGACCAATTTTCGTTTTTTTAACAAAAACCCCCAAAACTCAAAAACTATTCGACATAGAAAAATTTTGTCAATGGTCATCAAAAGCCTAATACTGAGGCTACACAACACAATAGAAAGATTTAAAAAGTTTGCATATCTAATAGGTTAAAAAATTAAAAATGTGACCCACAAAAAAAAAACTATTATTTAAAGCCTGTCGGAGTACCCCCTCCAATTTTTATATTTTTTGGTAAAATAACTCCAGGTTTTGATGCATTGTAGTAGAACTCTTCTAGTTACATATGCAAAAGACAAATTTTAGGAAAGTG